TAGATCGTAGTTTGGTCTTTTGATATGGATAGCCAAGAGATAGATACTATGCCAGTCAGAGTATCGCAACCGAGTAGCTCACGAAGGCGACCCCGAGATGAAGAACTACATGTACCACGACGATGACGGAGGATACCGAGTAACCAATCACTCGTGATCGTATTTGAGATCGAGCCTGCTTACGATGGTCAACCAGAAGGCGTGTTTGCAGGACAATTTCACAATGAGGACACGGAAGTTCATGCTTGGTCAGAAGTCGAAGGCATGGGCCACTACCGTTGGCTTCAAGGGTCGATGAACCACTTGCCTCGTGAACAACAGTTGGAGTTCATAGCAGAAGTTATGCGACAGATCTTCATTTTCTTGCGTTGGTATTGATCAACAACATTGCTTCTCAGAGACCTCGAAGCTAAAGGAGGGGGTGATGTTAGGAACATATTCTTTAGAACTTTCTAGAGAGAAGTTTCTAGAACCTTCTAAATAACAAGCCTCTGGAACCTTTTAGAAGAGAAGCCTCTGGAACCTTTTAGAAGAGAAGCCTCTGGAACCTTTTAGAGAGAAGTTTCTAGAAGCTTCTAGAAAGGAAGTCTCTGGAACCTTCTAGAAGAGAAGTTTCTAGAAGCTTCTAGAAAGAAATCCCCTGGAACTTTCTAAAAGCTTCCTAGTTAATAGATGTAGCTCAAGAAGTTTCTAGAACCTTCTAGAAAGGAAGCCTCTGGAACCTTCTAGAAGCTTCCTAGTTAATAGAAGTAGCTCGAGAAGCTTCCTAAGTAGGAGTATATATAGGGATCGAGGCTGAAGAGTTCTTCAGTCTCGACAACACATCTCTTGGAGTTCTAGCTCACCTTTTTGGTGTTGTTCTTGTACTCATCTGTTTAATCTAGTTCTGCCACTTCTTCTTGAAGTTCTTGTTAGATTTCAAGTCTGTATTTTGTGTCCGTGACACCAACTCCAGGATCGCAAGTTATATTCATTGGTACGCTTCTTTCAGGTTTAGCACTATCATTGTTTTCATCTTTTTTTTGAATGATGAGATCTAATATTAGATAATCTAGAGACTTTTTTAGCAAAGTTTTGATCCATGTATGCAGAACATGATGCAATTTGTGTTGCAACCAATAAGATCCGTATTTTACGACAAGGTAATCGATCAGTAACGTTGTATGCTTCACAATTTTGACAACTTGTAATTGATATCAAGAGGGATGATGCTGCATTTATTAGTAAATTTCTCTACAGATTATAATATGAGGTAAAAAAAATTAATGCTCAACTTACTTGATCTTCAAACAATGAGTCAAGCGATTGACTTTGCTGTGAAGTACGACAATCAACTTTTTGAATTTCGATTTGAGAACCATACAAGTGGACCTCAACGTTACTATAATTGAATGGCAACTTCAACACTTCTTCAACACATACATTTGGAAGTAGAGGATATGCAAATTGATGTAGTAAGTTTCAAACCTCTTACTGAGCAAAAAAAGACTCATCGGCTTCAAGAAGGATTGTGCTCATATTGTGGAGAACCTAAGCACAATACTCAACATTATCCAAAGAAGCGACGCAACCATAAAATGAGGAGTATGACAATCAAAGAATATAGCATGTCGAAAAATAAATTTGTCCAGCTACAATAGGGACCATGCGGTTATAACCTTATACAACGCTTAGACAAGGTCTTGAGTGAAGAAACATGTAAGCTCTTTTTTGACAATATCTATCACTATCATGGATTATCTAAGGATATTATATCAGATAGAGGAACTCAATTTGTAACAAGATTTTAGCAGACTCTTTTCAAGATTCTAAAAGTGGATAATAAACTATCTTCTGCATTCCATCTTCAAACTGATGTATAAACAGAGCATATTAATCAAGTTTTGGAGCAGTATTTAAGATGTATCATTAACTACCAATAAGATGATTAGAAAACCCTTTTGCCATTGACAGAGTTTGCTTACAATAATATGATACATTCTTCTACAAAATAAATATCTTTCTTTGCTAATTATGGTTATCATCCATAACTTGATACTTTTGACTTTTCAAAAGTTGATAGTCCTGCTGCAAAAGATTTGGCAATTTATTTGTTAGAGCTACATGCAACGATGAAGGCGTAGTTAAAAGAAGCTCAAGAACAACAAAAGATCAATACAGATGTCTATCAAAATGAACAACTACTATTCCACATAGGTGATAAGATATGATTACTTCATTGCAATATCAAGACCACTCATTCTTATGACAAGTTGGACTATTGAAGGCTTGGACCATTTTCTATTTCTGCACATATCAATCTAATTGCATATCATTTATATCTATCAGAGTCAATGAAAATCCATCCAGTATTCCATGTGTCTCTTCTTGAACCATACAAGACAGTGGACATACCAAGAAGAAGACAAGCTCTACCTCCTCCCATAAAAGTGGACAATAATGAAGAGTTTGAAATGGAAGAAGTCTTAGATTCAAGGCAGTACCAAAATAAATTGGAATATCTTGTCCATTGGCGCGGATATGATATTAGTGAATGCACATGAGAGCCAGTAAAGAATCTTGTAAATACAGCAAAGGTGGTAGATGCTTTTCATCGACAACATCCATCAAAATCAAGATGAAAACCCTCCTTATAAAAGAAACAATATCTAGGCAAGATAACATTCTACTTTCAATCCTTCTTTGTAGCTTCTTTGTAGTTGTGACACTCAAGAAATGGAGAACCAACAATCAACGGATTCAACTCAAGAGCCTTCATTTTTTGATCTGCCTAACGAGACATTACGATTGTCACAACCTTCAAGACGATGTAATCGAGATGAAGATCTTCAAAAATGACATGTTCTTCCTCGAATAAATGGCGAGATACAACGCGTTTGGTATCACGACCTTGGAAGGGACTCCCGATGTTTGGTGATTTTGCTAGACGTAGGAACAATTCTTGATGGTGTTTTAAATATTTTATTCGAAGGAAGTTATGAAGGCCTCAACAATGATCAAATAACTGGGTGGTCTTCTCGCCTTAGTATGGGACACTACCGATGGTTGAGAGGCCCTATCAATCATCTTCGAAGAGAACAAAGATCAGAGTATGTGGCGAATACAATTCGTCACATCATAGATTTCCTCAACATATAATTACCGCTCCTCATGGAACTTATCCCTAGAAGGGAGGGGTAATGTCATAGACATATGCATGTAAGCCAATAATTACATGTATAAATAGATAGAAGTAAGTAAAAGTAGGTAAAAGTAAGTTAATTCTATAGTATTTGGTATGGTAGCTTCTTAAAAGCTTTATAGACGCTGCTTTGACTTTATAAGTGTCTTTAATTGACTTTTTGGATTTAGAAACGTGGTCAAAAAGTTGGCCATGTGCCACACATGTTCTTAGCTTGAAGACCAAGCTAACTATGTGGCCCACACATAGAAAAACTTGCCTTATAAGTCAAGGCATGTATCGTACAAAGTCAACACATATTAGAGGTCTTGTAGAACGTCACCACGTAGCCCCTAGTTAGATAGTATATATAGAGACAAGAGTGAAGCCTTCTTCACTCTTGTCACCTCATTTCTTGCTTCTAGTTTAGTTTCAAGGGTCTTTAGTTTTCTTGGCTTTTAGAAATAGCCATTTCAGTTTCTTTCTTAATATATATATCAAGTTATTTCTATTTTATCATCTTTCTATAAGAGAAGTCTTACTTGTTTATTTGTCTTTATCATGTTCTTGTCCTTGAAACTACTTCTACAAAAAAAAAATTGCCTTTGTCTAATTGGTGGATTGACAGATATCTAAGAAAACCTTATTGGTCCTCAAAACCTTGAATTTCGAGACCATAATCCACAAAAACCTTCATGCTTTTCAATCTAACTATTCAATCAAATCCAAATTCACAACACACATCAAATACAACTACATCCTCAAATCCAAAAAAATTTCACTAGTAGATCTATTATCAAACACTTGAAATTGCCCAAAACATTAATCCTATTTTATTTTCCAAAAACCAGAGTCACTGAAAACAACATCAACTTTGCAAAGCTCTTATAAAGTCATTATCTATCCAAAACCCTCAAAATCAACATCTATAGAAACCTTATGAAGTCTCATCTCAAACTTCACTCTCTGATCAACCGAAGAACCCTAGAATCATCATCAAGGCTTGGTTTTGTGCCTCAGGGTCTGATTTCAACCCTGGTTGGTAATCGGTCTTCTCCGGATATCAATTTTTGTTCCATTTGAGATAAATTCTATTAAAACCAACTCTTAACTCCCTCCTACATATGCCTATATCTTTTATTCTACATGCCATCGTGTTCTATATCTTTTATTCAACATGACACCGATGGCAAAAGAGTATTAGAGGTTGAAGCTTGCATGTTGCTAATCAGAGACTCCGGCCATCTCTGGGATGAGGCTGCCTTCATTCGCTCACAATCATTCCAGTGCCTCATGCTGCAGGTAAAAAATTCACGTGGTTTGACTCTGGATGGTTGAAGCTTTGATTGGTTGACTGATTGACTTTGTTAATACCATGGTGATTTTTTAACTATGATTTTTGGTTTTTTTTGCAAGCCATGGAGAGTATAGTTATTGTAAGGAAATTCTTCAGGTAAATAACGGCTGGGAAAGCCTTGATGAGTTGGAAGTCTCTAGTCGGAGGAATGAAGTGAGAGTGTCCTACAAAACACGACATGTAGATGATGAGTTGCAAATCGTGCTTTATCACGGATAAGTTTATCACTGATGTCACCGATCTGTCTGGGAAAAAGAAATTCACCTGCTTACTGCTGTTTTGAAGCCCAGATCGTTAAACTTGCAATTGGAATAAGAGTCAATCTTCGTTATTTGCAATTTTCATTGTTTTTCACATTCGAGTAATGCGAATTTCTGGCACTGTTGTGAAATTATCAAGAGTCTCTCAGCCACATACATCCAGCTTTCCGCCTATATAATTGCATAGCAACACCAAGCATCATGAACCCACATTTCGATAACATTCGAAGCGTCGTCAAAACTGAGCATCTACAAAAAAAACGCAATTAGTTGGATCCGAGGGCGTGTTGTCATGATGACGGAACTTGAACGATTCTCGGAGGTTGTGTTTGTAGGGGTGGCATCGGACTAGGCTTGATTCATCTGGGAGGAAGAGGAGCTAAAAGTCAGATTGTAGCTCAAATCGATGCTCGTGATGTGGTTGTTGGCGAGAGACCAGGATCTCGGAGCCACCTAGCTTAGGCGATGCGGGACCTGGCGTGCACAGTGATGCAACCACCGAATCCAACCGTTTTATGTTTATGCAGCGTGGAGAGACTGGAGGGAAATGCTACGGATGATCAATTTGTCGTGTAGCCGAACGTGGCGAGGCGCGTCGCCGGAGTCGCAGCGAGAACTAATGTGTTGGTGGGAAGCCTGGTTATGGTTAGGTCACCCAGGCAGTTGGTCGTTACGGAGCTTCGCTGCATTGGGGCGGATTTGGAGGTGAGATAGAGGAATTTGGAGTTGTGGCGTAGCGGTAGATCTAGCTTAGGTTTGTGGTTTTGCAAGGGAGACGAACAAGAGGTGTGTGGAGAATTTTGAGGGGGGGAGAAGCAAAAAACGATGACAAAGGGTATGCGGAAGTTTGTGGGTTTCCACTGACGCTATCTATCTCTTCAGGTTGGCCTTCCAGTTCTAACGATTCTCAGATCTCTCACACCCTTCACATAGGTTTTGCCAGTGTGGGTTCTCTGAACCTCTGTTGCGGGTTTTTTTGTTACGCCCTATACCTCGCGTGCAGTGTATTTGATGGTCTGTAGGCGTATTCTCGTAGTGAGAGGTTTCGCAAACCCTTGGTTTGTTTGAATCTTGGAAACGTGTGGACAATGAGAGTCCGAGTGGAATGCTTGGGTCGTGTGAGCGGCGTTTGGCGTTTGTAGTCGCTCTGTTTTGAGGTGTCCGATTTGCAATTAAATGGTAAAGATCATCAGTTTTTATTGCCACCATTCCTACAGGTGCATACTGTTACGCCGAGCCGGGAGCTGAAGTTGAGATGTTTAGAAAGGTTACACACGGTAACCGACTCAGCGAATAAAAATCACAAGAAGGCTCCGTAGATATAGCACTTCTGTAGATACAGTCACCGTGTAATCTATAACACATATCGGTACCTATTTTCAGTCCTGTTTTGAGATTTGGGGTTAGAAGAAGGAATATTGTTGCAATTTCCTGTAGTATGCTTAGAAGTTGAAGTGTTCTTTGGCATCTAAATTTCTGACACTTCTCTAGATTAGTTAAAAAGAACTGCAATTTTAGGATTTCCAACTTGTGACCATCAAAACTTGGTGAGAAACTGTTGGCATTTCAGGTGTGCGCTCTGGCGATTGACATTATGTACTGAATTCAACACTTCCCATATTGCAGGTGGTGCTTGTGCCTACTTGGAGACATGCGGTTTGAGTTGAAACCAGACTCAGAGACATGAGGCCAGGTGGGACACTGCGTAACCCACGGGTGAGAGTCAAGCCTATAACGGTTGGTGGGCTAACAGAGCTTACAACCGTGACTACGCTATGCTCAAAACGTGTTTCGATACTTAGGATTCTCACGCAATGCATATTTTGCATTGCAGCTCTCATCCTTGGTTTTCGAGTTTCCTATGAGGCCAATCTCGTCAGGGTTCTGGACGTAGAGGAGACTTCCAGGCAAAATAGTCAGGTTCCCATTCAGAGGGTCCACGAAAGTAATTTGAGAGTATTCAAGAGTCAAAATGCAAGATTAACGCCGAGGGGCAAAAGCTCACAGGTGTACGTAGGCCGACATCCAATTTTGAAAAGGCCATGGCCTCACCCAGATCCTATTGAAATGGCTCAAGCGTACAACATGCTAGCCAGGGTCCAGTTGGAACAGCAGCGGTTGTATGGAATCGAAAATTGGAAGCCTATTATTGCAATTACTCCCACATATTTTCGCACATTCCAGAGTTTGCATCTATCAGGTATCGATCTTCTTTTCTTTTCTTTTCTTTTTTACGCGTACCCTTCTATTTACTTCGGCTGATTTCACTATTACAGAAGGCAAGACTAGTTATGAGCAAGATTAAGGTCTCAGTATCAAAATTTAATTATGCAATTCAGTTGGCTGCTACAGACCCTGCTTTCCAAATAGCGGCTCATGAGACGTGATCGATTCTTGAATTATATGATTTGACAGGCTTAATGCATACTTTGTCACTTGTGCGGAGACCTGTAACATGGATAGTCATAGAGGCGTCGGGTATATCTGCGGAGACAGCAGAGTTGTTGAGGCAGGTTAGGGTGCACAAATTGGTGCACTTGGGAGCTTCTGAGCATCTACCACGAACTTTACAGGATCGAATTATCCTGGAAGCTCGCCTTCGAACCGAAGGCTTGAGGTGAGATTCTTGGGTGGCACCCAGTAGATCTTCAATTCATGTGCCGAAATTCTTCAGTGCGTACTCATAAGTTTCTTTACTACCAATATCACACTGAGCTTTCTTATCCTCCGCAACCATCCTTGTTCGCTGTATAATGCGAACTGTGGCTATCGAATGGCCCAGTTGCCGCGTCTCATTGAATTTTCGCTTTCACTTGCGTCAATTGCAGATATGTGCGGGAGCAGAATCTGGAGGGTGTTATTGTGTTTGCTGATGAGAGCAACGTGTACAGTATGCAATTTTTTGATGAGGTTCAGAAGGTGAAATGGGTGGGTGCTCTTCCAGTTGGTACTCTCGGTTATGCTGGATTCGAAGATCCTGCTCTATTAAGGGATAAAGGTTTTCTTAAGGACAGTGGCGCCAGGTTGTTCAGGCGACGCTTGTTAGAACCTCTCCAGGAAATGCCAGTTTCCAGGAATACGGTGCTTCAAGTCCAGGGACCTACTTGCGACTCTTCTGAGAACATAACAGGTTGGCGAGCATTTAGGCCGCTCTCTTTAGATGACGTTTTAATTAATGAATACAGGGATGAACAAACAAATTTGGAGTGGTCAGGCTTTGTGTTGAATGCTCGCACAGTCTGGGCATCAGCGCCCGACCGGCCGAAGTGGATTCGGGAATGGGTGGAGTGGGCTCGTCCAGAGCAACGTCGATATATTGACCCGAGATCTCTTTTAAGTGACGAAACTAAGGTGGAGACTCTCGGATCTTGTGGAAATGGAAAAGCTGTGCTTGTTTGGTGGGCTCGAATTGAAGCTCGTTCAGATAGCAAGTATCCCCCACGGTGAGACTTTCCCCTTCCTCTTATCTGTCCGTGTTTCTGCTTGTGAGAGTTTTAGACGTCCATTGTTAGCATTGAATTTACGCTTAAAGTCTAACGAAATAATATTTCTGAAAAATGGAGATTGCTTCAGAAATGCTGAAGCAAAGGACTGATCTATTATTATTTCTGGGATTATATATATTTCACTTGAGAGTTTTAAGTCCGGACAATTCAGTTTTTGGCTTCAGCTCTCCCTGTTTTTGGATTTCACAAGCCCTTAATATTCAGCTCTTTAACTCTCCACAGGTGATATCTTACGATAGATGTAGTCTGCATCAGAGTTGCATTTAGACGCATAAAAAGCATTTATCAGTCAGATTATTGCTATCAATTAATGCGTTGTCTGCGATCCAAAACTAAAGAAACTATTTTATCTTCAATATTTGTTAATAATAATCACTTTTTACGGGTGCTGAAAATTTCTATATACAATGCAATAGACTGGAAGATTTCATGAAAGCTGTCTTTCAGATCTACAATTAAGTTAATTGGGGTTGTTCTGGTCCAGTGGTGACGGTAATATTTTCTGGCGTTCTCGTAAAAAGTAGGCAGTTTACTTTTTAGGACCTTTTGTTTATCACGCTATTCTATACTGACATAAGTATGTGTCCAGATGGAATTTGGATTTGCCGCTCGAGGTGGTTGTCCCCGCGAGGAAAACACCGTGGCCAGAAAAGATCTTCCCACTCTCATACCCACCGCCCTATGTAGGCAAGCGAAAAGTTGGAAACAGATCCGGTGGTCGGGGTGGGAGATCCAGGCGTGGTAAACGACAACCAGACTCTAAAATTAGTGCACTTGTTAATCAAAGGGAAGTCAATGCAACCAAAGGTATGTAGACTTGATTGTTAAAATCCTCCCAGATAATCGCAATGAGGCTTTCTGCCTCTGATGCTTAAATATCATCATGTAATTCGGATATCAGGACACATTGGACATGTCACCACCCTTGGTCTTACATGGGACTACGAGATTCCTATGTGATAACCACTCTGGGTAACAATTTTCCTAAGTATGTATGATAAAGTAGTAATTCGATGCATGTGGTGAAGCAGGCACTGCCATGGGCACCTCTGTTGATAAGCGCACGCGCTTCAGGAAATGTGATTAAATCCTGTTCATCGAAAGCTGCATAGAAAAAGAAAAGAAAAGAACAAGCAAGCACAAAATGATAAAGAATGTCGAAATCTTTATCATCGCTCTTAGAAACCATTTAAGTTGTTACGCTTCACTCTTGTGCTGGCGGCTCATTTGTAACACATTAGTGCATGCCTAAATTCGATGTATACACTGGGGTATCCGACTAGTTCTCAGAAATGCGAATTGCTGGAACCAGCATAGATTCTACATCTACTGCGGAATTCAAGTATAATGGGAAGTCAAATTGCAGCGTTTGCTAAGTCAATTGGCTGGCATATGCTCATGTCTTGCCTGTTTGGACTGGGCTTTTGATCGTGTTCTGGAATTGTCGTTACTAAACTTCAAGTATAGTCATTGATGTTAAGACTGGGTCTGGGTGTTGGATTGAAGCGGGTTGTGCTCCCCTGACAATCTTTGATTTTGTCAGTCTGCAACCAGCTACTGTATATGATCCTGCAAGCCTGTAACCTAGAGAGGAAATATTTTTGGCTTACTCACTTATCTGTTTGTAGTGGATTTACGAACGTATGTTCGTTCCATTACTGATGCCTCGTCTACAAGTCTAGAACATGAGTGTAGACGACTTATGTGCTGCAACTGGCATGCTGGAAGTTATTATCCAACACATATGTTGTCTACACTCATGTTCTAGACTTGTAGACAAATAGCAGCTGTTACTGAGTTACAATTTGTAGACTTGTAGACAAATAACAATTGCAGTGGTTTTAATGCACTTTATACTGTGAAACTTCCAAGTGGCACGGAACATGTAATGATTGAGTGCCAAGACTCCTACCGCTTGAACCTCAATTAGTGCGTCCCTTGAAGCATGGTTGGTTGTGACTTGTAGAGGTCCGTAGCAAGAGGGCTTTTTGTGCAGTGGACAGAATTGGTTTTATTTCTCTGTACAATTGGAATATTGACACACCCCTCCAATTGTGCACACGTTGACATCTAGATGACTTTTGATGTGTCCAGCTGAGCATCATAATTCAGGACTCTAATTTTCAGTTTTATTTAGAATTATTGCTTTCATAATCATCCAAAAATCATTTCCAGGAATTTTGTACTGCTGGAGGTAGGTGAAATACATCTGACTGCCTCTACAACAAATAAATTGCCAGATTTGCCCACCCAAATCCACCCTACTCAGCAGCAGCTTGAATGGTCTTGCGAATCACCCGCAATTACAAGTATATTTTTATCTTCATCAATGTCGGTGTTCAGCTGTGTATGCCTTTCAATCGGTTCTCAATCGCAAAACTGCTTTTGGCTTTTGCCTTCTTGGCGTTCCAAGTATAAAAGGAGGTTTGCAGTAAAGCCGCCTGGGATGTGTAGATTTCTGGAAAGCCTTGAGGAAGAGCTGGACTTAGTGTACAAATAGATCCATCTGGGTAAACTTTACGGATTTGGCCATGTGGGCATCCTGTTTGCTAGCGCCTCGACCTTTGAGGCAGGGCAACTGATTTTTGAAATATTTCCACACTTTTCGATCCCACACTTTGCCCAAAAAGTTGTGGACCACTCCCAACCATCTCTCAAATACGTTGGGGTCCATACTGGACAATGGCTTTTCATGGATGTGGGATCCCCAGTTAAAATCCGCAAAAAAGAAACCTCATCGACGTGTCTAATTAAATGCCAAAATTGCCGTTTGTAGCTTTACTCTGTGAGGATTGACTCGAAGTTAAGCAAATAGAAGCAGAAACAAGACTTGAACCGGAATTCAGCCTCATTTATTTTACAAGCATTAATTTTTTTGTTTAATATCAATACAGACGCACAGATGGTTAGATTTCCATTTATTTATTTATTTATTTACTTTTTTGTGTGTATGTGTGTGTGTTTTTTACAATATTCACTTGCACTTCTAGAAGAGTGAGCTTGCAAAAATTGTTCAAGTTCTGTCCCAAGTGGAAAAAAATCTTTTAATTTCTTTACTGTTATTTTTCTTCCACTCTCTCTTACTCTCTTCACTTGGATTCGTCATTGCAATTCCTGGGTGATGTCACGAATATCTCCCACCTCACCTCTAAAACAAAGCGGCTTTAATGCACATGACCGATAAATTCACCTCCAAGAGTGCGGTGATTGTCTGTAGCAAATACATCTCCCACACCAAATTTCAAACACCTTATAATAGTCCAACTCTTTTATAAATAGATAGGTAAAAGTTCAAATAACCACCAGGATGTTGGACTAAATGTTTATGACATATTCCAATATATGGTAGTTGAATGTCTAGTCCTCCTGAACACAGATAATATTATATGTTTCATTGTGCCAGAAACTTGGAACACCATTAATCTCACCTGGCAACTTAAAAGAACTGATGGGGTCAAATAGACAGAGGTTTGGGATTTTGATGAGGCTCGTGTTGTCAAAATGACAGAGTTACAGGGATTTGGCAGGTGTTGTGGTCAAAATGTTGCACTTTTAGGGTTTTGACCCAACCGACATTGGGTACCGTCTTCTACAATCAATTTCAGTCCAGTTACATGGGAAAGTAATGAAAAGAAAAGGAAAAAAAACGGGTCAGAATGCAGGGTCCTTTCATCTGACCTCCTATTTCAATGACTTGTTTATTCCTTTGACAGGCGTCAATAATTCTTTTTCAACTACAATGCTCATTTTTTAGCAATGCATATATGAATTTACTTTACTTTACACTACATCGACTTTTTTATAACTCAGTTTGTAAACACAATTTCTAAGAGTTTAAATTTTCTATTTTTGTATACACAATGACCTGTTGCAACAACAGATAACCACTCTAAGCAATTCCACCCGTTATAAATCAAGGTTGTTGTCATTAATGATTGGATTGTTTCTTGTTGAAACTTTCTATTTCAAGGTGCTCGGTTAAATATTTTGTTTTCTTCGTATCCCATAATGATAGGCATGTTGGTTACTTCTTCCATTAATTTTGTTAATTTATCAAATGCTTCTTGTTCTGTTTATTAAGGATCTTGTTCTTTGCAATATTCTCAAATTTCAGATTTCAAGTGTTGTTCAACTAACCTTGGCAATTGCCAAACTATTTGCTTGCATTCCAAACATTTGTTACTTTTACCAAGTGGCTTCAATAATAAAACATTAGACATGAGCTGCAATTTTGGTTTTGATGGTAGTTCTAACAACTAGCATTTTATAATGTTAGTTTTTATAATATAATAATGTTAAGAAAACCTCAAAATTAATTTGGAAATAAATTTTTTCACAAATAGTAAGAATGTATTATTGATTACAATTTAAACTATCTTGAATCTATTGGGATATTTTTTATGTCATAGAAAATTATATTTTTTAGAAGATATATATATATATATATATATATATATATATATTTCTTCCTATCTTTGATAATTGGAGAAAATCAAGATTTATTTAAGATCCTTTAAATACAATGTAGAAGGATTGAAATGACTAAATTTTACAATATATTTCAGATGAATGTTCTTTAATTGCCAAATGTGTAGTTAGAATGTAGTTTTTTCCATTTTACTTAAGTTAATATTCTATTTTCTTTTCAATGTGTGTGGTGGTTTTATATAAAAGATTTTGCTAAATTTTAATTTAATGGCATCATTTTAAGTTTAAACAAATGTTGTCAAAAAATAAATACTTCTACATTTGGATCTAAATTAAATTAAACATCTTTTAATCACTTATGATGTTTTTGTAAAGTATTGAATATAATTTGTATACTTTGAAGATTATCTTTTTAATCTTTCTTTTATACTTCTAATTTTTTTCTTTGAATTGTCTCTATACATGTCCACTTACTAAAGCAAACAATTGTGACTAAAATTAAATTATACCCTTAAAATTATTTGTAATAAAATCCACTAAAAAATAAACAATATGATGAAAATCTGTTAATACAAATCAAATTATGTTAGCTTAATTTTTATAACAACTTATTTTAAATGAAAATATCATATAATTTTTTTCAAAATTTATATATATATATATATATATATATACAACCAAAACATTATAGGTTTGTATGCATGAAAATTAATCATGATAGATTCTAAGAAATCATACAATGATTAAGAAATAATATCACCATATCAATTGATATAAGCAGTTATTAAAGCCACACCCCCATTTTGTTAACATTCCTATGTATATGAATAATTTTTAAATATTATTTTATTTCTTTTGTATTTTGTTTCATATAATGATAAGCTAATATGAAACAAAATATGAAAATATCATTTTTGGTTGATATATTTTAATTAATTGATATATTTTTATTAATGTGATTATTGTTGTTGATGCATATTGTTTTGTAAATAATAGTATTTCAAAAATATACTACAAAGAACTAATTTTGTCTTTAGTAAGAATAATATTTTATTAGACTTTTTTCTACTTTTTACATAATAATAATTTTTTATAATTACTTAAAACTAGAGATAAATCATTACATTAATTTTTGTAAGATTGAATGTTCTTAATTTTTTAAAATTGTCTATTCAATTCAAGAGCATCATTAAAATATGAAATTAAAAACACCAAACTGAGTTTTATTCTAATTATTATATTGCTTCTTAAATAGACATGTTTGATTTTTTTTTAAATAAATTATTTTTCTTTAAATTTGTAAGTAAGTGGAAGCTCACAATTTTCACAAGATAAACTTGTCATCATATATATATAAACATGCATGTATTGGTGTTAATAATATATTTTTTTATTGTCAAAAGAGTTTTTTTAGATTATTTATCAACAATAAAATTGATGTAACTGAATTTATTCTAAAAATAAGCATTTAAAGATCTGTAGCATTAAATGACTTCAAAAGCATATTTCTTTTTAATCTCAACTTTATTATTGTTAAGTTTTAGATAAATACACTTTCTTATTGATATAAATATATATATATATATATATATACATAATTCACCAGAATAATAAATTCTACAAATTACATAATATTTTAACTAAGTATTTGTGTTGATAGAAAATATGTTGATAATTGCTTTAACTAAAATTGGATTTTAACTAACATATGTAACTTTATATATTATATTCATAAGATATGTATACACCTCTTACAACTGTGTCATTCTGGTCTTTCTACACATTCTAGTTCATCAAAGGGCGTACTTCTGGAACTCAAATTAGAAATACAAAACCATTAATAGATTTTCAATGCAGAATCCACACTTGTAATTTCATGGTCTAAGCTTTCGAAACCCTCCAAATCAGAAAAGCATTCCACCATTTTCGAACACTCAATGCATTTTTCCTATGTTTAAAAACAGTACTTCTTGCTCGTGTATGCAGCATAGCCCCGAGGCACAAA